TCATATGGCACCCGGGAAAATAAACACATGAATCACACAGGGCCCCCTCCGACCACCTCCCAGGGGAAGGAAGGAAGGAGGAACTCATTGCTGCGGAGCTCCCAGCATGGCAGGAGCCTGGCACCAGAACGAAGCACACCAGGAGCACCCAGCCCTGATCCTCCTCCGTGTCCCATCCCAATGGGGATGAGTCTGGAGAAGCCCAATGGTCTCCAGTCCAGCCCAGCAGATTGGGACTTTCTCAATGCAGTGCATGTCTCATCCTATTCCGAGGTCTGGGAGTGGTCAGAGGGAACACACGCATTTATTTCCAGGGTTCTGTATGGAAGTAACCCCACAGTTCCATACAAGGCACTCCCAGCACTGACATTTTCCATGAGAATAATAGGCAGGAAGGCTTCTGACCAGCAGTTCTATTGTGTTAATAAGTTAGATGTCTATGTAGATGGCTGACACATCATCCTGGAGCCACTCAGCATCATGCTGAGGAGCCAAGTCTGCCTTCACCCCTGTGACCAGGCAGTTTGGGGTCTGTGGGGCCATCACACCTTCCCCTGTAGAATCATTAAGGTTGGAAAAGACCACAACAATCCTCGAGTCCAACTGCCAATCCATCACCACCATTCCCACTCACAGAGTCATTGAGATTGGAAAAGACCTCTGAGATCATGAAGTCCAACTTGTCGTTCCCTCACCCCTGTGATGGTGCAATCCCAGATGGGACTTTGCTTTCCCCATCAGCTGGGGGATTGCTTGGAAGCCTGATGGGGGTTCATGCTTCAGTGCAACCCAATGGAGCACCCAAACATCCCCAGGGCTGGAGGTGTAATTTCCTGTGTTGAAACTATCCGGTTGAACACTCAAAGAGAGGCATGTTTGCAGCAGCAATTACCCGACAGTGCATGGAAACGTGTTTCTATGTGTGACATCCTGCAGCCTTGAAGCGAGCTGCTTACTGGGGAGACCAACCTCATCCCAAAGCCAGGGGGGAGGGCTGGCTGAACTCTGATTCTTGGGGAATACAGAGCTGAACAGTGTGAATGACTGTTATCCCTCTGCACACCTGCAGGCAAACAGGGAACATTGTCCTCAGGGTCCTGCACGAAGCCAAGGGAGAGGTTTCCATGTTTATGAGCCATAGAATGAAGCATTTGGGATGAAGAAGAGCTTCAGGATCACAAAGGCCAACCATAAACCTGTCCTACCGAGTCCCATCACTGCACCATGTCTATCAGGACTGCATCCACACATCTCTTAAATACCCCCAGGGATGGGGACTCCCACCTGAAAGGTCTCATCAAGACCATGGGCACCTGCATGACCATCTCCAGATGTTAGAAGAACCATCTCCAAATGTTACAAAAGATGTAGCAGTGATGATTTCAGGATGTGTGGGGTTTAAATATCTGCAAAGAACTGGGTACCTTGGAGGAGCAAAATTGACAATGACACATAGCTGTATTTCCATTGGGATCTCCCATCTCTGAGTGCTCATCCAACACAGGAACCAGAGGATCTTGGGCACATTGAGGGCCTGGAGGGTCTGTTCTCACCAACTGGTGTGTGGCTTTGCATAAATCCTTTGGCTTCTGTGCTTTTCCCACCTCCTCTTCCTGCTGGATTAGGTTGAACATCCATTAGTACCTATCACATCACATCTCACATCTGTACAGGATTCTGGGCTGGTGTTTGGCTATGCTGGGGAAGTGAAGGTGAATGCATCCCCTTGGAAAAGCCACTGTGAACACTGCATAGGTGGCTGAGCTTCCAGCAGCATCTGTCTTTTCTGGACTGACCTCTTCCAGCCCAAGTATGTAGCTGTATGGCTCGGAGATTTTCCCTTCCTGGGCTATGTGATGGGTTCCTCACTCATCCTGAGCCTATAAACTAACTCTCTGAGTCTCTGAATGAATAGGGGACTGTTCATCCTTGGCAATGTCTAGATCAACCATCAGACCCACCATTCCCATGGTATATCCATCCATCCATCCATCCATCCATCCGTCCGTCCGTCCGTCCGTCCGTCCGTCCATCCATCCATCCATCCATACAACTGTCCATACAGCCAATCATCCATCCATCCCTCCATCTGTCCATCCATCCATCTTTCCAATTACCCATCCATCCATCCATCCACCATCCATCCATCCATCCATCCGTCTGTCCATCCATGCATCCCATCTTTCCATCTGTCCATCCACCCATCCATCCAACCATCCTCCCACCCATCCATCCATCCATCCAACCAGCAATGGACCAGTTGATAAAGCCATCAGAAATTTCGGATACTCGGGGAGGTGAGAACGGTCCGCTGAAACCCACCAGGTTATGCAGGGAAAGTTTCTTCCCATCCAGCACACCACTGAGCCACGCCAAATTTAATAATAATAATAATAATAATAATAATAATAATAATAATAATAATAATAATAATAAAGAAAGCCAAAGAAGCAGAAAGCAGGGAGCAGCCCAGCTCTGGAGTCTTCAGACCTTCTCAGCCCCCCCAAACCCACACCAGTCTCCCTCCTCCCTTCTTCACTGTGGGACTGGATGGCACGAAGAACTGCGGGCAGGGGATCGGCTCTGCCCACGGGAACAGCAGGTGGGGAGGTTGGGAGGAAATGATGCAGCACTTTGAAGTCTGGTCAACTTTTAACATCGCGACGAGCTGAGCCCATGGCCACGCTCCGGGGCTCGGGGCCTGATTTTCCACATTCTGCCCTTTGATGCTGGAGGCTGATGTGTTACAGATTAACGAGGCTGCGGACAGCATTGCACCTGCTGGCATTGCGTTGGCCCCAAGCTGTCCGTCTGTCCATCCCCGAGCATCCCGCAGCCTCTCCCATACCCCACACCCTATAGCCACCTTTCGGTGCCCATCCTGCCCCCCTCTCCCTCTTCTTCCTTCCGCTTTCGTTTGCTCTTTGGAAAACCATTGTATCGTTTTTTAATGGGATCAGCTCCGCTCTGTGCCAGCATTACACCCGGAGTGGGGCTGGGGATCCTCTGTGTGTCCTCTGCTGCTGCTGCCCACGTCCTCCGGCTGCAGTGACACCTCCTTTCGTTATAAAGCAAATCTCCTTCTCCTCCAGCACAGCTCCTCCCGGTTGGACGCCCAGCGGGCAGCAGCCGGGATGCGGGGCTGGAAAAAAAAAAAAAAAAAACGGAGGAAAAGAATGGGAAAAAAAACTCATAATATTGTCATATGTAATAGGGGGGGATTTTTTTATTTTTTTTTTCCCTAAACCAAAGGAGTTCCCTTCCAAAAAACGCTTTTGTGGAGAGGAGGTGCTGCTCCTCACAGAGCATTCAGCGCCGGGCAGGGCTCAGTTATCCCCCTGTGAAGGATGTTCAGATCCGGCGAGAGACACACCAAACGAAATCCCATTCCCGAACCTCTCTGCCCAGCAGCCCGGCACGGGGACTTGATGGAAAAACGAAATTAAATTCAGTACAATCAGATCGTCTCAAATTAAATTAAATTCAATGCCACAAATGAAGCACACGGCTCCCGCGTCTGAGCTGAGCACTGGCCCTGCTTCCTCCTTCCCTTCCCTTCCCTTCCCTTCCCTTCCCTTCCCTTCCCTTCCCTTCCCTTCCCTTCCCTTCCCTTCCTTTCCCTCCTATTTCCTTTCCTTTTCCCCTTCTCCATCCCTTCCCATTCCCTTTCCTTTTCCCCATCCCATTCCCTTTCTCTTTCCCCTTCCCTCCACTCCCCATCCAGCTCCGCACCCCGCATCCCCTTCCTCACATCCCCTCTCCTTTATTTCCAACCCACAGAAATCCCCACTGAAAAGATCAATTTTTCCTTCCCCCTCTTCCACCTCCGCGAAGGGAAAATAATAAAATTAAATAAATGAAAAGAATAATTAAAAAAAAACTAAACGAGAAAAGCGCTCCGTCGGACGCGCTCGCTCCGTTTTCAGCCTTTGGTTTCCGCGCAGTTCCGTGCGCTTTCCTCCTCCCGCAGCCGCCGCGCTGTGTCTGTGCGGGAGATGCGCGGGAGATGCGCGGGAGATGCGCGCAGGGCGAGGGGCGGCCGCGCTGTGCTTGGAGGAGGGGTGGGAGGAGATGAGAGGGGGACGGACGGACCGACGGACTGACGGCCCCGCGGTGCCGCGCGGAGCATTTCGGCGCAGCGGAGTGGAAAATAGACTTTCAACCCTCTTTGTGCGGGAGGGGAGGGCTGCCCCCTCCTCCGCGCCTCAACAAAACTCCGCCGCGTCCCGGCGGGCGAAGCAGAGCCAAACTGCGGAGTGAACTCGGGACGGACCAAAGTGCGGAGAGGCTGCGCGCCCGCGCATCTATCTCCTCAGCGCGGCTCCGGGAGAGAAAACAGCGACTTTGGGATTTTTCGTCGATATTTTGATATCATTTTATTATTATTATTATTCCCAGCGCAGGGAGGAGCGGGGCCGGGCCGGGCTTTAAGCGGGGCTCCGCGCTGCGCGGACATTGCGCGGGGGCTGCGCGGGTAACGGGAGCTCTCCGACCTTTCTATCGCGGAGCGGCGGAGCCGCGGGGCCGTACTGCCGTCCCGATTTTCAGCACGAAAGAAGCGATGTAGCGATTTCCTACGAAACGAGCGCAGCCCGCAGCCCCGCTCCCACAACTTCTCGCCTCGCCGCCGGCTCCAGTCCAGTTTTTCGGGCGCTCTCCTCCTTCCCAGCGCCGGCCCCAGCCCCGGCCCTCCTCACCCGCAGGTGAGGGCCGCCCAGGCGGGGAGGGGGGGGTGGGGGGGGGGCAGCGCCAGGTACCGGCCCTATTTGTAGGGCTGCGGGGCTGCGGGGCTGCGGGGTGCGGGGGCGGCCCGCGGGGTGCGGGCGGTGGGTGCGCGTGTGCGCGGCCCCGTGGGGGGGGGCTGTGGGTGGGGGGGGGGGGGGGGGGGGGGGGGGGGGGGGGGGGGGGGGGGGGGGAGGTTTCTCGCACACACACACACACACACACACACGCGCGCACCCGCAGGAACAGCCCCGCCGCGGCCCCCCCGAGCTCAAACCATGTTCCAGCCGTCCGCCAAGCGCTGCTTCACCATCGAGTCCCTGGTGGCCAAGGACACCCCGCTGAGCCCCGAGGAACCCCTGCGGCCCTCGGCCCTCAATTATCCCCCCCCCGCCGCTTCCGACGCTTTCCCCGGCGGTTTCCAAGGGGCCGCCGCCGCCGGTCGGGCTCTGTACGGCGGCACCGAGCTCGTTTTCCCCGAAGCCGTGGGGCACCCGGCTCTACCCGTCGCTCCGCATCAGCTCGGAGCATCGCCTCTCCCGCACCCTCACTCCTTCTTCGGACCGCAGCATCGCGACCCGCTCAACTTCTACCCCTGGGTCCTGCGCAACCGCTTCTTCGGGCACCGCTTCCAAGGTGAGCCCCGCACCGGGACCCGCAGCCCCGCACTGAGACCCGCAGCCCCGCACCGAGACCCGCAGCCCCGCACCGAGACCTGTTGCTGCGCTCCTCTCGGCGCGGCTCCGGGCTGCGGGCGGTCGGATTCTGCCGCGGGGAACGGGGATGAGCGGAGGTTCTCTTTTCGGGCTTTGTCTTTTCGCTTTTCTTTCGTTTCTCTTTTCCCCTTTCCTTCCTTTTCTCTTTTCCCCTTTCCTTTCTCTTCTCTTTTCCCCTTCTTTCTTTCCCGCTTTCTGTCATCCCTTCTTTCCGTTCTCTGTTTCTTTCCGTCTCCTTTCTTTCCTTCTTTCTTTCCGTCTTTCTTTCATTCTTTCTCGTGTCTGGTTTTTTTCCCTCTTTCTTCCTCTCTTTTTCTTTTTTTGTTTCTTATTTTTTGAGAAAAACTGTTTTTCTTAATTTTTCACTTTCTCTCCCACTCTTCTCTTTCTTTCTGTTTCTCCCCTTTCTTTCCTCCTTCCTTTCCCCGTGTCCTCTCCCTTGTTCCTTTCCTTTTTCTTCTTTCCTTTCCTTTTCTTCTTTCCTTTTTCCTCTTTCCTTTTCTTTTTTCCTTTTTCTTCTTTCTTTTTTTCTTTCTTTCCTTTTTCCTCTTTCCTTTTCTTCTTTTCCTTCTTCCTTTCCATTTCCCCTTTCCTTTATCTTCTTCCATTTCCATTTCCATTTTCCATTTTCCATTTTCCATTTTCCATTTTCCATTTTCCATTTTCCATTTTCCTTTCCTTTCCTTTCCTTTCCTTTCCTTTCCTTTCCTTTCCTTTCCTTTCCTTTCCTTTCCTTTCCCACCCCACAGGGTTATCCTATATAATCACCCGGTTATTACCAGGTTATGGTTGTGTTCCCGTTGGCTTCTCTCCATTCCCATCAGCACACCCAGACCCCTCCCGGCTCCAGGCAGTCTCTCAGTTCCCATTGCAGTTCCCGGTGCTCACAGCCCCACAGCGGCTGCCCCGATCCATTCGTTCTGTGTCGGATTCCTCCAATTCTTTTCCTTTCTTTAATTTCTTTTTATCCTTTTTTCTCTTTCTTCTTTTCCCTTCCTTTTTTTTTTTCTTCTTTTATTTTTTACCTCTTCATTCTTTTTTTCTTTCCTTCCTTCCCTCTTCCCCTCTCTCCCTTCGTCCCATCCTCCTCCTCCTTTTCTGTTCTTTCTCCCCTTATCTTATTTCTCTCTTTCTCTAACTTTCTCCCCTCGGCCCCTCCGTCTCTTTCCCTTCTCACTTCACTCCTTCAGCCTTTCTCCTGTCCTTCACAGCATGGTTTGGAGCACACAGGACCTTAAAGAGGATTCAGTTATAACACCTCTCTTACTCTTTTTCTTCCTCTCCTTTTCTCTTCATTTTCCCTTATTTCTCTTTTCCCTTTCCCTTATTTCTCTCTTTTTCCTTTTTTTTCCTTCATTTCTTTCTTTTTCTTTTCCTTTATTTCTCTTTTTTCCCTTTCTATTTCTTTCTCTGTTTCTTTCCACGAGAATTTCTGCCGTTCTCTCATTTTCTTTCTCTCTCACTCTATCTTTCCTCCCTTCTCTTTTAATTTCTTTTTCCATCTCTTTTAGTTTCATTTCTGCTCTCTTCTTTCCTAACATTTCTCCAATTTCTCCCTTCCCTTCCTCTCCCTTTTCCCTCTTTTTTACTTTCAGACTTTCTCATTTCCCCATCTCCTCTCTCACTTTTCCCTTTCCCTCTGTTCCCCTCTCACCGTTTCTCTCCCTCTCCAACCCTCTCTGTTCATTTTTCCCCTTCTCTCTCCCCTTTTCCATTTCCCAAAGCAGCGACTGCGACTCCGAAATCCCACCAGTCCCCGTCCCCCCTCTTTACCCCACCCCACACTGGGCTGCCCCCCACTCCCCCCTTTTTCACATCACAAACCCCCACAGCACATTGCTGGGGTGATTCCCCCCTCCTGACCCCGCCGTTCTGCCCGCAGGGAGCGAAGTATCCCAGGAGAGCCTCCTCCTGCACGGCCCCTTCGCCCGCAAACCCAAACGCATCCGCACCGCCTTCTCCCCATCCCAGCTGCTGAGGTTGGAAAGGGCCTTCGAGAAGAACCATTACGTGGTGGGCGCCGAACGCAAGCAGCTGGCCAGCAGCCTCAGCCTCTCCGAGACCCAGGTATGGCACAGCCACAGCCATCCGTGCGTGGAATTTGGGCTGTGGGCACCACGCCGTGATGGAGATACGCTGGGCGAAATGCTCAGCGGTTCCCCAGGAGTGGAGCGTGGGATCCTCTGTGCCGGGTTGGGGTGGTGATGCCGCGTCCCCGCGCTCTCATGTCGGAGCCGTCGTGCTGCATTATTTCTTCTCTGCCTGGTGTGAGTGCCAAACAAAACTGCGGTGGCCAAAGCAGTGGTGGTGTCACCCCGTTGCCCATTAGAACCCGTCGGCTCGCTGTCTTTGTGCTGACCCAACAGGACGGCTCATCTCAGCTGCGGCTTTCGGCTTTGAGGGAAGGCTTCACTCATTTGGTGTAGGAAATGAGGGAGCCCGGGAGGGCCCAGAAAGCAAAAGGAGAAGTGTTGGTGCAAAGGGGAAAATAGGGGAATTGGAGCTGCACGCTGCTGGGCGCACGGCTGCTGCAGGGTGCTCTGGGTGGAGGTACCCATAATATTAATTCAAGCTCCAGGCTGTGTCCTGTAATATTCAGCAACGCAGTCAGCTGAGATGGTTGCTAAATTCTGGGCCGTTTGGCCTGGTTTTATATTCATTTATTTCATTTCCTTTTTTATGATTTATGATTGGAAATTAAAGCAGAGCCGGGAAATGCTGCCCGACCCCTCACAGTGCACATTGCCTCCAAATCCCCCCGAGTAAAGAGGAAGGCAGAGAGGCAATAGATGCCTGCTTGGGTGTCTGCTTCTGTCTGTCTGTACGCACTGCAGACTGCTCTGCGGTGTCGGATCGCTGCGCCTGGGGATGCTGTGGGTGCTGTGGGGTCATCAACCCCAGGACACGGGGTGGTGCAGAGGGGTTGAGGGGAAACCTCTGTGCTTCCAGCTTCATGGCTTCCATGTATGCATTGATACATATATAAATTTAGTTTTATATATATATAGTCTATTAATTACCCAGGGAGAAACAACCCACACGCGCCAATGTTGGATTGTTGGACTCAATGGTGCTTATGGGTTCCTTCCAACTCGTGATACTCTGCAATTCTATATCCTATGATCCTAGCATTCGGTGAACGGGACTGGCCTGTATTGCTATAGTAAGATATGTCCTGTGGCTATGCTGCTGCCACCCCTTTGCTTTCCATCCACCCAAACCCAACTGGAAGCACTTGTGCTCCCTGGGGCATCCCACTGGGTGTTCCTCCATTCCAAGGGTTGATCCCATAGAGAACAACAGCTGGAGCAGCCCCGAGGGAGGTGGAAAGGGTCCCCAAGTTCTCGTGCATCACTGGGACATGGGGAACGTGGGGAGGGCGGAAGTATTTAACCCCTTCCCATAGAGGTCCGGGACAACAGGACTGGGAAAAAATAGGATTGGGGGAAATAGGGTTGAGGGCAAATGGGATTGGGAGCAAATGGCGTTGGGCAAAGACAGGATTGGGGAAAAATGGGATTAGAAAGAAGGGCAGCACACAGCCCCCAGCAAACATGAGTGGGACGGGGATGGAGCTGTGCCTGCGGGGACCGTGGTGCACGAGGAACGGCTGCGGGGTGTGCGTGTGCGGGGTGACGCAGAGCTGCGGGGATGGCACCGTGGGGCTGGTGGAACATGTGGGATGTGGATGTGGGGTGGGATGGGACACGGGTGGGTGCTGTGCCGGAGGGTGTTGTGCTGGGATGGGCACTGTGGGTGGTGATGCTGCCGTGCCCGTCGGTGGTGGTGTGAGGCTGCTGCGGTGAGCTGACATCACCAGGCATGGGGATGTGCCGGGTGGGAAAGCGCTTCCCTGAGCTCATAGAGCCATAAGGTTGTAGAATGATAGAGTGTCCCAAGTGGGAATAGACCCCCATGGAGCTGCAGAAAGCCCACACTGTCTCCGTCCCAAAGCACAGCTCCCCTCCTGGCTGTGGCTGTGAGGTGTGGGACGATGCCATCCTGCATCTCTCCCCATACCACTGCAGGGCTGAGCGCACCGTGGCTCCCGTGGGGCGATGGTAATGATTAACAGAATGGCCCCACAGCCGTGCTGTGCCCACGAATGCCTGGGAGTTACAGAAGGAGAAAGATGGAACTCTGAGATAAATACTGGGGACCATTCCAGGTCCCAAAGAGAAATGTCAGCGTTGATGTGTGGTCTTGAGTTGGTGCGCTGCTTTTTGGGCGCTCTCTTTGGAACCCCTGCGTGTCCCTAAAAAGAACTGCTGAGTTTTGAGGTGTTGTAAGAAGAAAAAGGTGCAGAGTGGCCGGGGCTTTGTGGTGTCACAGCAAGGACTGGTGTGCTAGAGCCCAGTGGGTGTAGCATCTCCTGTGCCATGGGGATCGCAACCACAGCGCTGTCCTTGGAGCTGCTGGGGATGTGTGGGCACACCAGGTTTGGTCACACACTCAGTTCCCAGCACGGCCGTGTTACCAGGGCTGGGACAAAGCCCCATGGCAGAGCGGGATCTCTGGGTGCATGTGGCAGTGCTTTAGGGCTGTGGTTTGGTGAGCATGGTGATGTTGGGTCATGGTTGGACGTGATGATCGTAGTGGTCATTTCTGACTTCAATAGAATCATAGAATGGCTTCGGTTGGAAGGGACCTCAAAGACATCCAGTGACTTTATGATTCCATATGGGATTGCTGTCGCTGCCTGGATGGCGTTAGGTGCAGGAGAGCATTGTGTGTGTGTGCAGAGCAGCTGCCAAGGGCTGAGAATGGGATGGAGGAGCCACCAGGAGATGGTGCCCATCTGGTACCAGAAACCCACAGGGTAGCAGAGACGTTCGGCACCACGGTGGTTAACATCGGTTTGGGAAGGAACAAAACCCACGTTTGGGGTTTAAATGTATGGCTCCCAGGGCAGGTTACTGTCCTTACCAGTGCGGCTCTGGGGGCTGCAGTCCCATCGGGGTGGACTGCTCAGAGCTGAGCTGTGCTTGGAGGATGCTGCACTCCTCACACTCAGCTCCCGTTCCCAAAAACTCACCTGTGCGTTCTCATTGCTTTCTGCCTCACTTTCCCTCTCCAACCCTCTCCGTTAATTTTCCCCCTCAGCTCTTAGGGGGCTGAGAGCTTCACTTAAAGTTTATGAAGCACTCCGCCGTGGTGGAATTAAATTGGGCAATGCCTCAAAATGAATGGTTGGGGGTCAGAGCTCAATGGAATAAGCAGCCGTGGGCTGTGCGCTGCTCAATGCACTGCGCACCAAAAGGGTTTTGCTGCCCTTGGAAAGGCAGAAGGAGGGTCTCTGCCTCACTGTGCTGCGAGGCAGAGGGAGAGCATCGCCTGCGGATGGTGCCCTGCGAGAGGGAGGCACGATCCACGTTGACAGCAGTGCTGGGAGTGAATGCTCCCTCCTGCACCGTGCTGGTTGGCAACAGCGGCCGTGCAGCGGCGCCTGGCGGCACACAGGGTCTGTCTGTCCTGCAGGGCCGGAACTGCGGGCAGCAGTGGGCACTGGTAGCATCCTGCATCCTTACACAGCATCTCGTGTCCCTACACAGCATCCTGCATCCCTGTGTAGCATCCCACGTTCCTATAGAGCATCCTACATCCCTGTGTAGCATCCTCTGCCTGTATACAGCATCCTGCATCCCTACACAGTATCTCTGGATGTGTGAGATGCTGTGTAGGGACATCCTACACAGCATCTCGTGTCCCTACACAGCATCTTGCATCCCTGTGTAGCATCCCATGCCCATACACAGCATCCTGCATCACTACACAGCATTTCACGTCCCTACACAGCATCCTGCATCCCTGTGTGGAATCCTGCGTCCTTGTGTAGTATCCCACGTCCCTGCACAGCATCCTGTGTCTTTGTATAGCATCCTGCGTCCCTACAGAGCATCCCTTGTCCATACACAGCATCCTGCATCCCTGCACAGCATCCCACATCTGTGCACATCATATTGCGTCCCTACACAGCATCCTGCATCCCAGTATGTATGACCTCCTGTGTCCTTGTATAGGATCCTCCATTCCTACACAGCATCCTGCATCCCTACACAGCATCTTGTGTCCATACACAGCATCCTGCCAGCAGTGCCGTGCTCCTCTTGGTGTCTGGGTGCCTCTCTCACCCCACTCAGAGTTTTCTGTGCCTTGGCTGCTGTCTGGGATGGCAGTGGGTTCAGGCAGGTGAGGAGTGACCGGGTCTGGGGATGGGGATGCTGCTCCTCTATGGCTCCTTGGGAAACGTTTGACTGCAGTCACAGTGAAATAGGTTTCCTTACCTCTGGATATAGTGAATTCATAATCTCCATTTGCTTCCTGGTTATCTGCAGTGTAACCTCAGTGCCTGACAGCCTCAGAGCCTTCCCTCGGGCTTTGCACAGACTGACCCACGAATGGGTTAAGCCCAAAATGCTCCTTTTTTCTCCCATCTTTGGGTGCAGGGAGGTGAAGGGTTGCCATGCTGCACTCCGAACAGAACCAGAGCCAAGACCTGGCACTGCCACCTCAGCATGGGGACACGGCTCTGGGCTGGGTGTGTGGGGACAGCTCTGTGTGACCCCTCCACGGCCACTGGGCCACTGTGCCCATGGTGATGGGCAAGGGAGATGTTTTAATTCATTCTTTTATTTTTTTTGTGCCTGTGTGTTGGGCACTGGTGTGATGGGCACCAGGGCGATGTGCACCGGAGTGATGGGTGCCAGTGTGATGGACACCACTGTGATGGGCGCCAGGGCAATGGGTACCAGGCTGACGGGCAACGGGCACCAGGGCAATGGGTACCAGGGTGGTGGCTGCCAATGTGATGGGCACCAGTGTGTTGGGCAACAGGATGATGGGCACCAGAGTGATGAGTGCCAGGGTGACTGGCACCCTCCAAACCCAAGGTCCTGCCGTCGGAATGGAAAAGTGAAGATGGGCAGGGGGACCAGGGCGCACTCCTGGTGTGACAGGGACTTTTTTTGGTCACTTCTGAAGGAAAACGGGTTTTTTTCTCTGCTCCTCCTCCCCAAGGTGAAAGTGTGGTTCCAGAACCGGCGGACGAAATACAAACGGCAGAAACTGGAGGAGGAAGGGCCGGATTCGGAGCAGAAGAAAAAAGGTTCCCATCACATCAACCGATGGCGCCTCGCCACCAAGCAGTCGAGCGGAGAAGACATCGACGTCACCTCCAACGACTAAGGCAGGGACAGGCTCCTGGTGCAGCCGCCATGCAGAGGAACCCGGGGGACGACGCGGGGACGCGCGCGGCATCACCCATCGAACTCTAAGGGACGTCACCGCCGCCGCCGCCGCCCCACCGGGACCCATCCGTCCCCCCCCCCGCCGCCCGGAGCCCGGTGCCCGGCGCAGCCCTCGGGGCGCGTTTTGGGGCTCTCCTGCTGAGCCCGGGAGGAAGAGGAGGCTGCCGGGACCCCGGGACACGACCGTGCAGCCTCCTCCGTGTGGGGACCGCCCGTCAGCCGTGAGATCGCATCCAACGTCCTACCTTTGAGCTCAATGTTTCCAACCCTTTTTCTTTATTTGCCATTTTTTTTCTTCCCCCTCCCTCTCCCCTCCTCCTTTCTCTGTCTCTCTCTCTCTCTCTTTCTCTCTCTCTTTTTTTTTTTTTTTCCCCACACGGTTTTGTTTTAATTTATTCTTTTTTTTTTTTTTTTTTGTGCCCGTGTGTGCGTGCGTTCCCCGTCCCGTAGGTAGTCCGCATCTGTAGTGTGTGTTACTGCGTGGTAATAAAAAGCAAAATGTGCTCAAACTATGTCTGCTTATCCTTGGAGAGGTGTGCCGGGGGGAGCCGTCCCCATTGCCCACCCAGAAATGAGGATGTGGCCATGGTGACTGTGGTGCCATCGGATGGTGTCACCACGGAGTTGGCTTGCATGGGATTGATGGATGCAGGAGAGCTCGTCCACTGTGATGGCATCTCAGCAGTGTCCCCTCCTCCCAGGTTGGGTGTCAAGGAGGTGACACGGTGACAGAAAGCAGAAGGGGGGTGACTGCAGGTATGACAGGTATGTGGTGCTCGGGGGCTGGCAGCTGTCACACCTGCACTGGGTATTGGATGTCAAGGGAGGGGCCGTCCCACAATGACATTGGTGATGTGAGAAATGAGGTACTGGAGGCTGGAAAAGCCCCATGCACTGCTGGAGCCCCAGAATTTGGGTGGGGGGGGACGAGGGTCCCACCTACATCTCCCCAGGGAAGGACATTTATAACCATCATATATATAGAACTGTCATTAAAGTTGGATCAAAGGATCATTGAGATTGGAAAGGACCTTCAAGATCACTGAGTCCAACCATCAACCCATCGAGTCCAAACACCAACCCGTTGGGTTGATATATGCATATTATATATGAGATACACGTACAAATAAGATGATAGACACAAATATAATAATGAAATATGATATACCCAAATATAATAGTTAAATAGAGAGATACATAATAATTCCTGCTGTTTGGAAAGGGGCTGCCCTCTCCCTACGTGCAAAGGGAAAAGCCACATCCCCAGAGCAGTTCCCCTCTGCAAACAGCACATAAAACATCCTATCAATGAGACATTAAAAGCCCCAAATCTGTGCTGACCCTTGCATCAGTGTGATTGGCCACGCTGAGCTCTGAGCCCTGACCCAAAGTTTGCTCCCAATTTCCCCAATACCCAAAGAGACCCAAATTTTGCTCCCATCTGCCCAATATCCACCCAGCCCCAAATTTTATTGTCAGTTCCCACCCAGCCCCAAATTTCGCTTCCGGCCCTCACCCATCCCCAAGTGCTACCATAGCCAACAAAGTCTTTAAATGCTTTTATTCCAGACACGTCCAAGTGTTACACAAAGTGTTGCGGTCGATCAATCTGTTGAGAAGGTTAAAAAGAGACTGTGTGCGTTTGGGGGCTGTGCCGGGGTGTGCGGCTGGAAGACGTGGCCGGGAGCGAAGCCCCCGAGGCAGCCGTACGGAGCCACCAGGATGTCACAAGGGGCTGATTCCCAATGGGAATCCAGGAGGTGCCGGGGGCTGTGAGTGGGAACCCGGCGTAACCTGAGGTCTGCGAAGGCGACGGCTCCGGTTGCGTGGGGATGGAGAGAAAAGATGAGCGTGGAGCAGAAAGGAATGGAGCCGTGCCCGAGCTCGTGGAAGGAAAACTGAGAAAGGAGGCAAAGCAGATAAACAGCTCAGAAAAATTAAAAAAAAAAAAAAAAATCCCCCAAAAGCAGTTTTGGGTTGTGAGAGCACATGGGATGTGAGAGCACGTGGGACAAAGGCGTAGAATATTTGTATCATAGAATCACAGAATGGTTGGGTTGGAAGGGACCTCAAAGATCACAGAACCACAGGACAGCTTAGGTTGGAGGGGATCTTAACGATTATCCAGTGCCAACCCCCTGCCATGGACCGGGTTGCCAACCACTATATCAAGGCTGCCTGTGGTAGGAGCAGGGCAGGGACCTATTGGGGCTGTTGTGCCACACGTTGGTACCCAACTCCCTCCATCCTGCAAGGGAAATCCAAAGGGATGTGGTTGGCAAGATCAGACTTGGTTACTTCCTAAAACTCATTCTGTAGGAGGAAGGAACCAACCACTGAGCTGTGGGCTCACTTCCTAACCCTATGGCCCACTGCAGGGCCAGGGCCAGGGGTGACAGCCCATGGGGAGCAGCCCGAGGACACTTCTTCCAGGAGGGAATCAAACTTCTCGCTGGCACCTTTTGCTGCAACCTGGTCCTCATTATTTCTTAATTAACATATCCAAGAAATCAATTAGCTGCGACATTTCTAATTAAATACTACTGGAGATGATCATCTCATTATTATTATCTGCTGAGGTGAACAACTTGATGTGTGAGGTGGGTTTTTTCCTTCCCATTTCTTCCAGTTCCCCAATTATAGGAAATAATAAATGCAAATGGTTGGGTTGTTCTCGCAAACCCAAGGCTCCTTTTGTACATTAGGAGAGTCGAAGAGATTAATTAGCTATTAAGTGAATGTGTATAATGTTATCATTAGCTTTTTTTTGGCACAATTTGCTGTCCTAATAAACAGTACTAATGTGCTATCGCTTTCCAGTGCCATGCTTTTCATTTCTCAGGCTGTACCAAGAGTTAAGCTCCATGCTGAGTCAACTTTTTGATCGGAGCCCAATTGCCAACCCTGAGATCTTGGGCAAAGCACGAGAAGGGCAAGGACGTTTCCCAACAGTGACAGCAGTGATTTGGGTGTGCCATGGTGAAACTTTGCAGGCTGGTGCCTCCCCAAAGGTCAGGTCGGTGTCTGCAGAACCATTCTGCTGCTTTTGCAGCAAGGGTCCCAATGCTGCAATGGCTGTGGGAGCTGCAGAAGCTTTGGTGGAGACCTCTGAACCTCGTGGTGGGGACACGGCCACGCTCGTGTTGCCCAAAGGGGAACCACACATCCACCAAAATGTGGTGAGCCTCCTCTTGCATCTACCTTGTGCTGCTCCCATGGCAGGGGAACACGAACAACAAAGGGACAGGCAGTAGGGTTGGAGCCCATCTCAAAAGTTGGGTTTCAACACTGCTGCCCTTATATTTATATATATATATATATAAGTATAAAAAAATATTACATATATGCAATGCACCTATAGTCAGCAATATGTTCTGGGAGATGTAGAGCCAAACCTCATCTCTCCAGCCCCATAGCACACCCCACAAGCACTGCTGACACACGTGGTACTAAGTACTCTGCAATGCAACGGCCGTGGAGGATTTTGGAGAAGTTTAGGAACTGTGCAGGAAAAGCCCCTTTGCTTTCCAAACGCCAGGCTGAGCTGGAAGAACCAAGAGCTTGGGGAAGGCTGGGTCAGGAAGCAGAAGGGTCTTTCTCAGCAGAAGCTATCCACCCCATTTTCCAATACATGAAATAAAACAAGTTTGATGGGATTTATACAGGACATGAGAAACCTGGGCTCATTTAGACTGATTGTCACTTGTTGGGCAGCTGGGTTTGACCCGAGCTGCAATCCCCAAGTGCTGCTCTTCTGACATCCCTGAGGCCACTCCTTGCCCACGGACCAGGATCTCTCTCTCATATTTCATAGGGCAGCATGTATTAGGAACCCTGCAGCCTGCTCTCCTCCAACCAGCGCCGTTGGCATTGCATGCTGCCTGCTCACCCCCTGCCGCACATCACTCGCTCCATCTGCAGACCCTGCAGGTAGCTGGAGCTCACTAGCTTTGATCAGTAATTACGATGCAAGACCAAATCCTTGCAGAAACCATCCCACTACAAAGCCTCGGTCACTCCCCTCCCCAAAGAAGAAAAAGACTGAGATCAATGAGTTTTGCAGCATTGCAGCAGAACGGCTGTGGCAGCCACAAAACCCACCTTGGAGGCTTTTGGTCCGCTCAGCCTTGGGCTCAGTTACACCATCAGAGCCAGCACGTATTTAAGCATACATTAAGCACGTGCTGACTGTACATTCATCTGATCTAGTGCATTAGAAGAACTCTGCTGGGTCAAATCCAGCTGTCCCTTATGCAGGTGGAAATGCAGAACTGCTCCATGAGCTCAGCATTCCCACCAGCGCCAGGGACCGGGAGCTGTCCTATCAGTAGAAGGGTTGGAGAGAGCTCTGCTGGCCTCTCCTCCCCTCCAAGTTGGTATGGATGTCCACAAAACTCTCATTTTTGACGTGCAATTATTTGATCCACACCAGTGTGGGGACAGAATCTGCTGTGCAGCTCCCACTCCCATGCATTGCAACGCATCCTTTCATATACATTCTCTGTCAGTGTAGATTTGGTTTCCCCTGCTCCCCCCACCCTCCCCCAGCCCCCACGAGTTGGCACTGGCATGATGGCAATCATTGCATTTGGCCGTGCTCATCACCACCACACCTCAAGCCCTGTAATGATCCCAGTGGCCACATTCTCTTAACACGTTTGGGTGAAAGTTACTGCAAAGCCAGATTACGGCCCCAAACTCAACCAGGAGGATGCTTGTGGAGCCACGGGACCACACACCCAGTGGGATGTGGCTCCTGTACCAGCAATGCCCCATCACTGCATCCAAACAAAGGACAGCTGGACTCAAAGTGGAGCAGCTTCACTAATCCCTCATGGAACCCTACCCAGGTAGCTCAGATTGCCTTACTCACAGAGAGGACAAACCTCACCCATTTTTCTCATAGATCCCATCCCATGCAGGGCACGTTGGCTTTCCAGGACTTTGAACCCCTTGTTGATGTGCTGGGTGGCAGCTGGGGCAGTGCTGACATGGAATCGATACAAGACACTTATCAAACATCCTATCAAGAGCTTCAAAGCCACGCACCCGTCGGTCTCTGCAGAATGACTTTTGTGCAGTGTCAGTGCTGTGATTTAATTTGCATTGAAAACAAAATTTGCTGGGTGAAGCCTACTCCCATGGAGTTAGGTATAGCCATGTAACCATCCCGTAAAACTTCCCTCCATGCAGTGCTAGAAGTTTAGAGATCATTCCTCTGCTAGTCGTCTAAAGTGTTTGAATGTAGTTTCTGGCTGTTGCTAAGTTAAAACTTTTAATGTTAATTTTGTTGAGTGGTGTGAGAGGTGTCAGTTCTCCAAAAGTGTTACCCCACTCCCGCTCTCTGGGAGCAGTAGGACTATCGCTGAGCTCTAGGATTTGTGTTGTCTCGCTGCTGCGTTCTCTCCCAGTCGACATCTCACGTTTCCCCCTTTCCCTGCCCAGATCTTCCGGGTGGAGGGGTCTGCAGCTCCCCACTTACAACCCCTTGTTGTAGATGACGGTCTTACTGGGGGTGGCCATTGCGATCTCCGGCTCCAGGCGAGACGTCTCGATCTATGGAAGCAGAGGCAAAGTCAGGGTCAGCACCACGGAGAGCCATACATTAATCACAGAAATGTTTGAGTTGGAAGGGACCCTTCAAGGCCATCTGCAATGAACAGGGACACCCACAGCTTCATTGGCTGCTCAGAACCCCATCCAGCCTGACCTTGGATGTCTCCAAGAATGGTATACCACACCTTTAGGCAACCTCTGCCAGTGCCTCACCACCTTTGCAGTAAACAACTTGTTCCTTATACCCAGTCTAAATCTCCTCTCTTTTAATTTGAAACCAGTTCCCCATGTCCTCTCTCAATACATTCTATTAAGGAGTCCATCTCCTTCTTTAGCAGGGTCTTTAACGTGCTTTACTCTGACTGAGACTCAAACCACCCTTGTTCAAATGGACTTACACTGCACCAACTGATGGCACTCTCTGCCTGACAACCTTTGAGGAATTACAGACTGTACAGGAGCACCACACAGATCCCACCCACCATTTTCCAGAAGAAATCCTTTCATTTTCCAAAGCCAGGGCTCTCGGCACTCTCCAGCAAGAAGAGTCACAGCTGACCTCTGGGTGGTTTGATGTCACCAGTGTGAGACCAATTCCCACAGCCTGGAGGTGTTCAATCACAGAATCACAGAATGGTGTGGGTTGAAAAGGACCACGATGATCATCTAGTTTCAACCCCCTGCTATGTGCAGGTCACCAACCAGCAGCCCAGGCTGCCCAAAGCCACATCCAGCCTGGCCTTGAATGCCTGCAGGGATGGGGCATCCACAACCTCCTTGGGCAACCTGTTCCAGTGCCTCACCACCCTCTGAGTGAAAAACTTCCTCCTAATAACTAACCTAAACCTCCCCTTGTCTCAATTTGAAACCATTCCCCCTTATCCTATCAAGGACCATAGTACTGAGGGACACGGTTAGTGCATGTGGTGGAGATGGGTTGGGCTTGATGACCTGAGAGATCTTTCCCAACCTTAATGATACTGTGATTCTAGCATCTGTCTTCCCATTACTACCATTTGTGCAGCCTAGACATCACACTCAGCATCGCCAGGAAGTACAATATGATGTACAACAGAGAAACAACAGTGTGTTGTCCCTACTCCTTCCCCCATCTCCATGAAGTTCCCATCCCATTGCTACACATTCCCAGCTGGATTTCCAGGAAGCTCTCCGTCACGTTGCATCCCCAGGAGGAGCTGAGTGTCCCCATGCCCAAATGGGACGGGGAGCCTCACGCCATTCGACTTTGGGAAATCCCATCCATCCAATGGGTGCTGCTGCTGACACAATGCGAGGAGCCCACGTTAAAAATCGAAATGCTTTTGAAAATGTTTAACCTAGTTAGACAAATTAGCAAAAATTTGTGCAAAACAATTTAGGTATTTAAAATATTCAATGTTTTTAAAAACTGGAAAAACTGTTCTTAGCTTTCAGCTGCAAAAACCCAACAAAATATAACATCAAAGCAATCTTAACATGAGGTGCAACATAACCCTTCAGCAAAGCTGTTAAACAGCTACTGAAGCATCATGGGAAATAGCACTTCATTTATTCAAATGCACATATGTCAGGTTTTTGCACCATATGTCATTCCAAGCTATTTACAGTAATAATTAAATCTTAATCAACGTTTAACCTCTGTAAAATGTTTGAAGGGATCTAATCACCCTTCAGACTGCACTAATGAAGGAGAAATATATAAACATAAAAAGAAAATGATGCATAGATAGCACACCAGAAAGAACAGTAATTGCAAAATTGTATTTCTTTTAAATATAATCAGCAAATTATGTAAAGTAAGCCAACGAGTATTTTAAGTGAAGACATCTTGGGTGTCAGAGGTGTGATCAGCTAATTTTGTACTGCTATCCATAACAGATGTAGCATATTTTCTTTTCGTGCCATTATTAGCAACTTCACCATTTCTTTCTGTGCCGAAACACAAAGTGAAGCATTGTGATGGGAGAGCACCCAGCAAAGGTAGAGGAGAGGCAATTCTCACGTCCAACAGCACTGACAGGATCCATTTTGAGGGAGGATTAACTCTGATCTGCCTGGCTCTGACACAGCTTTTCTTCCCATTGTTTTCCTTCTTCCAAACACAGAGGGGAAAATCTGCTATGCACTCAAGTTGGGTGTATTCACCCACCAGTATGAAAACATCATGGTGAGAGGAGCTTATCAATGACTTGGGGTTGGGTAGACCAACCCTGACCAGTTGGGTGGCCCAACCCTGACCAGTTGGATGTCAGTTAGCAGGGCTTAGGGGCATGAGATGGCTCAGAACAGCAAAACCCAAACTTTGGTTGGGATATCTATACAGAAAGCTAATGGAGAGCCACAGATTCACAACATGGGTCCTCTGGGTCCATGAGTGTTGGACTTGCTCTCCAAAGGAAGCTCCACTGGACCCCAAATTAGAGGTCTGAAAGCAATTTCTACAGGGAAATGATGATGGTCTGGATGCGTTGAGTCAAGAAGAGAGAAGTTGAAGGTATTGGCACACGCAAGGAAAAGAAGTGTGTTGGTCCATTCATGCTGCCTTGGGATGCAACTCAAAAAGCAGTGTGGAAGACTCAAGTTGGGCAGCAGAAAGAGCACCCGAGAGGGAAGGAGTGAAGTATCACAACCAGATGTTTGGGGAAGGGTTGGTGGCTCTGAGGTGGGAAAGTTTAAGCACAAATCAGGTGAAACTCAGCAAGAATGGCTGGTTTGGAGATGAGTATTACAGAGCTCACCTAAGCTCCTTTCTGAAGGTGAGGAAGATGTGAAATAACTTTACTGGAGAGTGACTGGTTGAACTGGAGCAAACTGCAGATCCATTTCTGTTTGACTTTACTAAAGCAGATACAAAGACATGGAATTCCTGCTCTAGAGCCTCAGCTACATGAGCTCAAAGGGGTGTATCTCCACCAAGGAGGCAAGCACAGGAGAGACGAGTTACAAAGCACTACTGGTAGATCTGTTCATAAGAGCACTGGGAATTATTGATTCCTCACCCTGTGAAATCAAATGCAGAACAATTCATTCTTCCAATCCATCAGTTTCCTGCTAGAAATTGATATTTTCCTTATTTTGGTGCAGATTGCTGTTGTAGCTGCCCAGCATCCTGGACCCGCTCAGCCAACCTTCCTCTGGATATCATGAGAGAGCACAGAAGCCTTTATGCCATGTTTCTTGTGCCTGAGCTTCAAACAAGACCCACAGCAGTGTCATTCTTGGTCATGACCATGATGGCAACTCCTCTAAGTGGGGATGGCCATCATGAATGGTTCTCCAAGGAAGAGGTTTTACGCTAAATGATAGGATCTGTCTCATCCTACACAGGGCAATTGTGTCCTTCCAAGCTAAGCATCCACATGGGAACTGTGTCCATCTTCTTCCTCTCAGTGAGGAAGATCTACTTGTGCTGGGTCAAAGGATGCATTCCCTCATGCTTTGCAGAGCCAGGAAGGGACCAGCATCAAGATCCCTAAAAGAAGTGGGTCTTCAACAATGACACCAGAAGAGCAAGAGGGATCCAAGCTCACAAGAAGTATATGGGGAAATGTGGTGTATGAAGATCACTGCTGGCGAATGATGAGAAGGGGCTGGTATGTGGGGAAAAAAACAGGTTTTGAGGCTGATGCAGCCATCAGTGCAGCACTGACCACTTGTTATCCTGGCATACCAGCACAGGGGATGATATAATGTTAGAATCACAGAATCATTAAGGTTGGAAAAGAGCTCTAAGAATCCCCACACCCCACCATGCCCACTGACCACATCCTTCAGTGCCACATCTCCATAGCTCTGGAATACCTCCAAGGATGGTGACTTTACCACCTCCCTGTGCAGTCTGTGCCAGTGCCTGACCACTCTTACATAGAAAAAAGTTTCCTAATATCCAACCTGAACGTCCCCTGGTACAACTTAAAGCCATTATCTCTCATCAGATCACTAGTAAGCTGGGAGAAGAGGTCAACCCTCACCCTGCTACAACTTCCTTGCAGGTCACTGTAGGGAGCAATAAGGTCTCCCCTGAGCCTGCTCTTCTCCAGACTCAGCAATCCCAGCTCCTTCAGCTTCTCCTCATGAGGAAGGGGCAATTGCTGCATTTCCCAAGAGCATACTGAAAGCTTTGCTATAGAGGCAAGGACATCCTCGCTGGGGACATGGCCAAAATGGATCTCCAAATGCAACCAGAAAAGTGGCACTGTAGATCATCACAACACCTGAGAGCTGGAGGATGCCCTTCATTTCCCTCCAGCAGATAACCAAGAAAGCAAGAACAAAACAAAAAACGGTGATCTTACTTAAGCAACAGTTGATAGCCCAGCATCCCCCAGGTAATGCAGGCTGACCTGGTGAATTCTACCCCCGCTGGGGGAACAAAGCCATCGAAGGGCACCATGAGAGGTGACTCCCACCACGCACGAGCTCTCTTCCCCCCATCTCCGCCTTGCAGTGGGAGCCTCTCTCTTCTCATCAGCACAGACAAGGCTAATTGGGGTGATAAAGAACTGGCTCCGAGTGCTGGCGTGGGCTGGAGGAACAAATGGTGCGGTGGTCACAGCTGGTGCTGCGGAGATGGGAGGGAGCGGGCGCAAGGCTCCGGCGGTTCCGCCAGCCCGGGGCTGTGAGCAGGGCTGTGTGTGTTTTGCATTTGCTGCTGACACGGGTGTAACGTACATGCGCGTCCGGTGAGGCAGAAGCAGGCAGAAAGCAGATGCTTTTTGTTTGGGGTTGATACTCATTTCTATCCCAGCTCGGGAAAAGGTGTAGAAAGGAATGTGCTCCTCCGAGTGCAGGGAGAGAGATAGGTCTAGGCTCGCTGCCAGGGATCCTGCGACGATATGGAAGGCAGCTAGGGGAGACAGGAGCAGATGGATTTGGCATACAGCTCATCGCTCAGCCAAAAAGAGGAGGGGGGGGGGGAAGAAGAAGGAAGAAAGCAGCCAGTTTTGGTAGGGGGAGGGCCAGGCAGCCTGGCGGATGCTGCATCTGGAGGAGGGGGAAGG